TTGAAACCTTTCAACCCCAAGAATCCAAGCCTCCCAAATTGATAACTTGAGAGTTGAGATACTTGAGTTGTTGAGTAAGCCTCCTTCTTGTTGAAACTTCAATGAAGTTGAGAATTGGAGAATCAAAGAATGTATGAGAGATTAAGAGAATAAGACTTGAGAGAGTATGAAAACTAGAGAAGAGATTAAAAGAATTGTTGAATTGGTGTTATGAGAATGGTGGAGATTAGAGCTATTTATAGGAATTGAAAATAATTCAATTGCCCCAAATACCCTAAAAACTAGCCATTTTTTAGTTGTTAGGAGGGGTATTTTGGTCATTATAAAGTTGTGTCAGTTTACCCAAAATGTCCCCCCAAACTAGTTGTTATATAGCCATTGGGGGCATTTGTGTCATTCTTTCTCCCCCTAAAACCAAAATACATAAATAACCCCGCTAAATAGTTGTTTATAGCTGTTGGGGGTATTTCTAAAAAAAAACCCAAAAAGATGAAACTAGTCGTTGGGAACCCCCCAATGGCTAGTTCTTCGGGCGGGCCAAGCCGGCTCATGGACCTGGAACCCCAGGACCAGCACGGCCCGGACCATCGTTTCAGGCCTAGCACGACCCACGTGCCAAGCCAATCCGGTCCGGTCCAAATTTAGGTCGAGTTGTGGGTGGCACGACCTGATTTACACCTCTAAGTAGTAAATGGCACTTACTGTAGAGCTAAGAGGCATCAAGGGGCGAAGACAACCTAGGACAAGGATGCAACTTGGACCAGGTTGGCCCGAACCCAACCCGAAAAAGTTAGGTTGGGTTGGGTTGGGTTGGGTTGATGCTCGAGTTAGGGTTGAAATTTATGAAACTGACTTTACTTCGAGTTGGGTTAGGGTTAACCCCTCAGGCAACCAAACCCAACCCGAATCCGAATCTATAGAACATATCATATATAATATATTATATATATCATATATCATATATTGATTTGTTTATATGCATGATAATTGTATAGCCCCCACCACATACTATCATTTATTTCTTTTAAGATAATCACTTCACTTAATCCTAATTAGAAATACTAAAACCTTGATAACATATTTTGTGTTTTTGAATATTTTATTCTTTATCTCCTCTCTATTGTTTTACCACCCATAGCTTGCTGCCCATAAAAGATAGTCATAACTCATAATAAACTACAGTCATTTCAAACACTTTTTTTTTCTGAATTTTGTACTTAAAGAACCAATAAAAACATCAACAAACAAATACTAATAAAACATAGGATTAATATATGTAGTGAAAGTTGAGTTAAGATATGAGATTAAGAAGTTCTACAAGATTATAAGGGATGGGAAGAAGGTTGGGTTGGGCCCAACCCGGGCCCAACCTGAGCCCAACCCAACCCAAAGTTGGCTTTGGGTTGGGTTGGGATTGTAGGAATTTAGTTAGTGTTAGGGTTAGGGTTGAAGAGGTAAGTCAGCTTGGAGTGAAGAGCATTCTGGTGCTGGAAACTCCAATCAGAGAGGAAGGGGAAGAAGGAAAATTTAATGAATCCATGTAATTTAATCAGAGAGGAAGGGTTAGGGTTAGGGTTAGGGTTGAATCCATGTAATTTTGATTCATTAATTCTGTTAAGCAGATGGTTTGTCATCTAGACAACCAGTATTTTGAGATGTATTGCATCTTTTTCAATTTAATGATTTTCCTTTTTATTCTTCAAAAAAAATCCTTGAAGTTGCTGACATATTGGAATGTTTAGTGTCTAATTGGCCTTTAAATTACTTAGGTCTGTCACTGGGAGACAATCTACGGAGAGGTAGTTTTTGGACTCCAGTTGTGGAGAGATTTGAAAAGAAACTTGCCTCGTGGCAGAAAACTTACTTACCTCTTGGAGAAAGAATAACCCTAATTAGGTCTACTTTAGCTAACCTACCTATTTATTATTTACAAATCCCAACAAAGGTGGTTCACAAATTGGAAAAACTAATGAGAGACTTTCTTTGGGATCCAAGGGAGGAGAATAGGGACCATAGGGTGGATGGGAGGTGGTGTGTAGAAGTAAGAAATGTGAAGGTCTAGGTACTAGGAATATTAGGAAAAAAACATGGCTTTGTTAGGAAAATGGTAGTGGAGATTCCCCTTGGAAAAAGAAAAGTGGTGGACTAAAATAGTTGTTAGTATTCATGGGCTTGCAAACAATGGATGGGATGTTGGAATTTTGGCTAAGACTACAAGAGCATCCAAGTCATTTTGCCTCTTTATTCTCCATGGATCAGGTATGACTTGCACTCAGGCAATCTCATTAAGTTCTAAGAACAGGTATGGGCTGGGAATTTCCGTTGAAACACCAATTTCCAACTCTTTGTTATTTCCCTCTTTAAAAATGAATTCATAACCACTTTCATTGTACCCTCTAACAGTCTAACTCGATTTCCAAGTTTGGTTGGAACTTAGGTCTAAGAAGAGCCATCAGAGATACAGAATTAGAAAGTACCTTGTCTCTTTTGAGCATCCTTGAAGGGGTATTCGTGGACCCCACAAAGTCAAACAACAGAATTTGGACCCCCTCTCCATCGGGATCTTTCACCTGTGCCTCCTTTTATAAAGCCCTTACCCAAATGGATGCTCCCTCTAGCTTGTCTTTCCTTATTAAAGAAGTTTGGTGCCAACCTATCCCACCAAAGGTTGGGAGTTTTCATTGGGAAGCTTTCTTGGAAAGAATCAACACAAGTGATTTGCTTCAAAGAAAGAGACCTAATAGATGCTTATCTCCTCATTGGTGTATTCTTTGTAAGGCTGATGGTGAGTCTAGTTACCACTTTTTTTTTTATCAATAACACTTTCATTAAATCATCAATAGAAGATTTACAAAAGGGAGACAAACACGCTTATCTTCCAAGAGCAACAAAGAACCTCAAGAAAAGGAAAAAAAAAAAGAAAAGAAAGAAAGAAAGAAAACACACTACAGTTACAGCTTGGCCCAAAAAAGTGAGTCCCTTTCTGCCCCTTGTTTAGCTAAACC